AGAAGACTCAGCCAGCAACACGGAAGGAAATCCTGCCATTTGGAAGACCGGAATGGAACTAGAGCAGGAGGATTTTGAATGAAAACCTTAGCCAAGGCACACATTCAGCACCCCCATGAACACAAATCCTAACCCTAATTCCTAACCCTGACCCTAACCCTAGTCTACTCTGTTGTGGTTTTTTTTTTTAAGATTTTATTTATTTATTTGAGAGAGAGAGAGAGAAAGAGCGCAGAGGGAGAGTGAGAGGAAGAAGCAGACTCCCTGCAGAGCAGGGAGCCTGACGTGGGGCTCCATCCCAGGACCCTGGGATCGTGACCCAAACCAAGCCAAAGGCAGATGCTTAACCGACTGAGCCACCCAGGTGCTTTTTTAATTCATAGTTTAACACTGACTTAGGAAGCATTCTTCCCTGGGATTGCCATTGTTAAGAAAAGGTGCTGCTCTTCTGAATGGGGCTGTATCAGTAAACACCATGACGACAAGGAAATGAAGACAGAGTTCATGTTCTTAGAACTTGGAAGTATACTCTCTTGTTGCCTTGGTTCCATTTCAGTTAATGGTGAAAGGCTAAAACTTCTGTGTGCTATTTGCAGTGAGAGACTAGCTGGTGAGGTGTTGAGACTCTCAGAACCCGAGGGGCATTGACATATAAAACGTAATAAGTGCAAAACCAAATAAATTGCTTGAAAGAAAGGGTGTTGAGCTTAGAAGCTGACAGAACCAGATTTTCAATACTTCACACATATAAACTTAAATACTTTGCAGGCTTCTGACAAAGTGGCACTTGTGGTTGCTAAGACCAAACAAGTACTTACAATTGCTGCTGCAGCATGGACTGGAAGCACCAAAGTCGTTCCTTGAAAATATTGGGTGTGTCTGCAGCAGAGAAAGAGCTTCGTTCGGTACAACTTTCCAAAGACACCACCGCTCAACATATCAAGGAGCTGGTAAATGAAATAGAAGTCCAACTCAGAACAAGTGAAACTACCAGAATATTTTTCATCAAAACCTGATGAATCCAGTTATGGATGACATGCATATGTGTGATTTGAATATGGGGATGATGCAAACTTAGAAATTTCTTTTTAGCTTCATTGCCAACAAAACTGTTCGCTCTGAATCATGCAAAACCATGCACAGCTACGTTGCCAACCAGTATAATTTGGAGACTGAGTTTTGTGTTGTGTGTCCTGATGGCACAGCCATCATCAATGAGAATAGGGCTCTGGAGCAGCCTCCCAGAGTGATGAGCTAGCCCCAGGACCTCAGTCAACGCCCTGCTTTCTTTAGTGACCATGCCCTTCCCGAAAAGCATCAGCTGACCCAAGCAGTGTGCTTAGAGAGGCGGTAAAATTGTGGCTTGTGTAACAACTGATGGGTTAAACCTAGAATTATTCTTTTTATTGTGTATCATAATGAACCTCATCATAAGCAAATGCTGATAGATTTTTACATACGGTGGTTATCAAGGGGAGGAGTCCAGCTGAGAATGTTTCACTACAGATGAGCTCCTAGTGTCTCTGCAAGAAGCAAAGCCATGGTGGCCCCAGCTCATTAACACCATGAGTCAGACAGTCTGACATCTTCAATATCTAATGAGCTTAATATTTCTGTGCAAGAACAGAATACCACTTTTCTTCATTAGGACACAGAAGACCATAGGACACAAATAAATGTTCAAAAACTAGAACAGAGGCTCTACAAATTGTGATCATGAATTCCATAATTAACAAATATTATCTTGGTATTTGCACATCTGTGAAAATTGTAACCAAACACCTTATGAATCAATAGAATGTGGGCTTTTTGGATAGAATGTTTTGAATATAATTTTCCATCAAATAAAGATGCATCCCTATAAAGTTAATGGATGCTGAACGTATTGGTCCCTCATCGTCAGCCAAACCCAACCAGGAAACAGAAGACCAGGAGCTTCCCGGGACATCCAGGAAGACACAGTGGTGTCTTGAGAGTCTGGAGAGCCAAGGGCAGGCCTCCATCACCAGTGTCAAGGGGCACTTGTGTTTGGCTGTATTTTGCTTGAAGTCGGGTCATGTTACAGCATGAATATATGCTCATAAGGATGATGCAGTAGAGATACTACCCTGATGTTGCAGAAGGAGGCAGCGAATGCCTCCTTGGGGAGAAGGGACACATGCCGTTGGTGTGTGTGTGTGCAGACAGGTCCTCTCACACAACAGGAGGACACACAAATATATGCCTGTGAAGGAAGGCACGCTGGTGGATGTAGTGCTGTGACTGTGTGTGGTTTGTCTTCTGATTTCTTCAGTTTCTCGGTGAAGTAAGAGCCGAGGCCCAGAAGGTAAGGTGAGACTGGCAGTGTGACAAGTAGCCATCTCAAAGGACGTGAGGACCCCCACCCTGGAGACCTGGAAGCCATGAGCAGCACTAAGGACGCACCCAAGGTGAGTTCTGGACGTGAGATCCGCTGAGGCAGCAGGTGGAGGAAGAGAGGGGGTGGGCAAGGGTCACCCAGTGCTGGGGGTGGGGGCAGGGGGTGGGAAGCGTGTCTGTGAGCAAGGGATGGGTGCCTTGTCACGATGGTGCAGTAAAGCCAGGGCCGGGAAGTGCGTGGGGACCGTGACAGTCAGCCAGCGTGCTCCCTGAGTACCTGCTGGGCACGAGAGGCTCGCCCGACTGGAAAGGGGGGAGTGCAGCCATTGGTGCTGCGGAGACCAGGACGCGGCCCTGGCAGTGGCCGACTGCAGCAGGTGCAGGTGAGGTGGCCGGGGGAGGGGTCGGAACCTGAGGTGGATTGGGTATGTGCGAGCAAAGTCATCACAATTGGTAACCCGAGTCGTCAGCGGAGGAGGCCTGACTCTACCCCTCAACTGTGAGGTAGTTGGAGAGCGTGTCTCAGACGGTGCCCGGGAAGGGTTACAGGGCAACCGCTAATAGCTTGCACTTCCAGGGGCTGCGGTTTGGAGAAGAAGCCACAACCCAAACGCAGCCAAGGGGGCACCCAGTCCACCTCCAGTAGCGACAGCACTCTGGAGATATGGTAGGAAAATGGAGGAGAAGAAGAGCTGGGCAGGCTGGTCTCCAGTAGGGCCAGCCCTGACTGTGGGAATCATCGGGAGGGATTCAGACCAACAGATGTCCAGGCCGTACCCCCGGGAACACTGCTTCTGAGCTACGCGGGAGCCTGGGGCTGGCATTTGTAGACATCTGCCCAGGTGATGCAACAGGCGGCCAGAGACCGGTGGGGGAAGGATGGTGACGGGCACAGCATAGGGAATGAGTCAGTGATGTGGCAGTAACTTTGTACGGGGACAGATGGTTGCTACACTCCTCGTGGGGAGGGCTGAGTACGGTACAGAATTGTGGAGCCGCTAAGTTGCGCTCCTGAAGCTGATGTAACAATTTGTGTAGCCATCTTTTTTTTTTTTTTTTCTTTTTGAGGGCGAGAGGTGGGTGAGAGGGGAAGGGAGCATCTTTTTTTTTTTAAGATTGATTAGAGCACATGTGTGGGAGAGTGCGGTGGGGGAGGGGGAGGGCAGAGGGAGAGAGAATCCCAAGCGAACTCTGTGCCCAGTGCAGAGCTGGACCCAGGGCTCAAGCCCATGACCCTGAGATCGTGACCTGAGCCGAAATCAAGAGTCGGACACTTAACCGACTGAGCCACCCAGGTGCCCCTCATGTATTTGCACATGGAGAACTTAATTTTGTTCTCTAGTTAAGTAAAGAAGGTGATGGGTGCATCAGAGCAAAGGGGGAGGCTGTGGCCATCCCAGAACCCATGACCCCTGGGGCCTTTGGGGACAGGGGCTCCACGTGGCCTCAAGTACAATCTCACTAATGCAGCCACACTGTTGTGTTACAGGTGATCTGGGCACACATTCTCTGTCCTGTATTCTTGCAATTCTGTGTGTGAGCAGGATATACCATCTCTGGATCTTGCTACATGTTAGCAAAGAGAATTGCAGAATACTCATTGTAAACAGGCACCTGAGTGGTTGAGAACAGGACAAGGGTCTGCTGTCTGTGACAGACTCAGGGCCAGCTAGAGACGAGTGAGGGACAGGGTGACAAAGGGTGACAAAGACACCACAGTCATCAAGCCAGAGCAGTTTGGGGAAGGTGGAAACCGTCCCCAGATGCTGACTGAGGAGCCCCTAGGGCTGGCCAAGGGCTAAAACCCCTGGGCCCTCACGAGCACCCTGAGGACACGCTCAGCCACCAGATGGCAGCAGGGGACAGAAGAGGGCCCGGTCCCACACAGGAATGGCTGCTCCTGGGCAGGTCTGGTTGGGAACCCAGGTGTCTCAGCCCCCTATCTCCATTCTAACATCTTCCCCAGATCCTAGACTTCCCGGGGCCGGCCTTGCCGCAGAAGGAAGCTGTGTCTCAGACTGTGGCCCCTCCTCGCTTCCTGCAGGGGTGGGACAATTCCACCAGGCCCCAGGGGTGGCCTGGCTCCTGGCCCCTCAGTCTCTCTGAGGCCCACCTCCTCCCCCTGGACCCTTCTGTCCACTTTGGCCTCCTGCAGCACTGGGCCCATCTCCCACTACCCAGATCCACAGGCCCAGGAAGCCCCCACACCTGCCCCAGTGGAGACCCTCAGGCATGTTGAGCACAGGGAGGATCCCCCCACAAAAGAAAGGCCTGAGCCCAACCCCAGAGCCTACCACTCTCAGCCACAAAGCAGGCACGGCCAGAGGCCGGTGGCGTCCTGGCCCCCACTGTTCTTCCCCACCGACCTCACATCTCACCCTCTCCCACGTCCACTCAACCCAAAACCATGTGCAGACCACCCCTCAAACAGTGCCCCAAGCCTCTTGCTGCTTGCCCCCCCCCGCCCCCGCCCCGGGAGCCTGGGGTGAGGACACACCCCTCACCCCCCACCCCCCACTGCCCAACCTATGCTCTCCCTGCCAAGGTCTTGATGGGCAGGTTGGCCCCGCTCCCAGGCCGGGTGCCACCTCTGAGGCATAAAGTCCGCCAGGGCAGCTCCTGAGGGACCTCTGCCATCTGCCATGAAGGGGAGCAGCACCCTCCTACTGGGGGCCCTCACCCTGCTCTGCTCCTGTGGTGAGTCTGTGTGCTTCTCTCAGCAGGGTCCCTGTTTGGGGGATGGATGGGGACCTGGGGAGCTGAAAACCCAGGCACTAGGCCCCTCACAGTGATGGGCGGCAGCCGGTGAGGTGCCGACTGGCCTCCACCACGAACACAGATGTGGGCAACGACCCTGACGCCCCCGCCGACCCCAGTCCCCACCCAGCCCAGCCCCAACCTCTGCCCCAGCCCTAGCGTCACCAAGCCCGATGTCACCAACCCAGCCCAGCCTGAGCCCAACCCTGCAAGCCCCATGTCAGCCAACCTCGCATGGAGGGGAAATGCCAGCTTCTTTAGGGGTCTGACTCCTCCCCTAGAGATGCCAGGAAACCCAGAGTGGAGGGAGGGAGGGGGGTTACGGGTGACAGGAGGAGTCTGTGGGCAGGTAGTGTTGGGGGTGTTAGGGAGGAAGATCTGGGGGAGGAGAGGCTGGGTAATCATCGTGCAGGCACGATGGGAGGTGAGGGGCAGGTGAGATGGGAGTTGATGCAGAAGGTCTGGATGCCGAGGCTGGAGGGCTGGGAAGTCCGGGGTCATGGGCTGGAATGCAATCCTCCTGTCCTGGTGTCATCCCGCTCCCACCACACAGGGCTGGCCACCGGGGAGGACAGCAGTGAGTTTTTCATGGAATTCCTGCAAACGCTGCTGGTGGGGTCCCCAGAGGAGCTATATGAGGGGCCCCTGGGCAAGTACAACGTCAATGCAGATGCCAAGGCAGCACTGACTGAGCTCAAGTCCTGCATAGATGGCCTACAGCCCATGCACAAGGCGGAACTGATCAAGCTGCTGGTACTGTGGCTGGGGGTGGGGGCACCCAATTCCCTAAATGCCTGCAGCTGCAGCAGGACCCACGGCTCTGGCCTACTGGCCCTCCACCAAATGCCATGGCTCCTGATTATCCCCCAATGCAGCCTACCACCCCTACAGACAGCCGACCTGCCGCAGTCAGCAGAAGTGGACATCCCAGACCTCACTCCCCACAGAGCACCCTTAGCCTCCCCTACACATACATACATGCATAGGAACACCTGCATACAAGTGCACACACACATCCACGCAGGTGCACACACCACTTCCCCAGCTGCTAGGAGAGGACTGGCCGAAACGTGCTAGAGCCTACAGTCCCCCAGGGGCTGGCCTGGATCTGCCTGCCCAATGGAAATGGGGCTTTCTAGTTATTGGTCACCAAGGATAGGACCCCTCTGGGCCCACACCTGTCTGCCTTCCAGGTGCAAGTGCTGGGCAGTGAAGATGATGCCTAGCAGACCCCAGTCATGGCTCCAAGCAGCCACAGGACCAGCTACACAAGCAGCCATGGCCACGCCGCCCCATTACCACTTCCCCATGTGTGAATGTATCCTAAAACTGTTCAATCAATAAAGCCTCCTGCAGCTCCCGTTCTGGCTCCTCTCTCTCCCCACACTCACGGCACAACTACACGCACATGGAGATTCACATACACAGGGTCACATCCACAGAGCATGCACATAGAAGTAGCCCCACACAGAGGGCAGACCCACCAGATACCCATGTGGACGGAGCAAGACAGACAGGCAGGTGGGTGGACACAGGAAGGCCTGCAGAGGCAGTGGTGGGGCGCAGGAGCAGTGACTCAGAGCAGGCAGGGACAAAGTGCCCCAGGCAGAAGACATGGCCAAGACTGGGAGGTCAGGCTGGGGGCGCTCTGCATCTGAAGGCTGTCATTCCGAGATAATAAATATACACTATGGCACAGCTCCAGGGGTTGAAAGCAATCTCCCCAAAGTCACCCAAGAAAAGAGTCTACCTGGAAGAAATGCAGACCTGAGCCGTAGCCCCAAGAGGAACCTTGACAAAGTCAAGAAGAGAGTGCACCTGCTCTTGAGGACACCCATGCTCTGAGGGGTGGACACAGCCAGCAGTGGCCCAGGAGGGAGAGCAGGGTCTGAGAAAGGTTCCACGGGAGAGCATCAGCTCCCCACCCCAACTCCCCAACCCTCACCTTGGATCCCAGGATCTCAACTGCTAGAGCCTTCCTGTGTCTCAGTTCCCCCAGATCAGTGGTCTTCAATGGGGGCAGGGCTGACTAGGTTTTTCTCTGCCCCTCACAACTTTCGGTCCCCCGCCACTCCAGTTCTGGGCCCCACGGCCTCCTTGTCCAGTACAGAACCTTGCTGTCCCTTTTCCTGCCCTCCGAGCCCCTGCCCCACCCATTGCAATGAGGAGCAGAGCAAAGTCCCGACCTGAACCATGCGTGGTGAGGGTGGGGGTTCCCTGGGCAGAGGCCATTGTCTCCATCACACATAGTGATCTAGAACCTGCTGTCCCACAGAGCCACATTCTAGAGCTTGGGGGCTAGGGCCCCTCCCCAATTCTCCAAGCCCCCTGGGGAGAGGAGAGAGAGGGAGAGGCTTACCTCTCCATGCCCCTTTTTCGGGAACTCCCTGGCACTGAGGCCGGAGTGACGGGACCGCCTCTGAGGAGGCTTGGTCCATAGGTTGCTCTGAGCGCAGCTCCCGGACCAAAGAGGTGAGGGCCCCTCTGGAGCAGCCTGCCCCCCACCCCCCGCCCCATGGCACAGTCTCAGCCAAGAAGTTTCCCACCTTTGCCCACTGCTCCTTGCCCAGTAGTGCCTAGGGTCCTCTGAGTAGGAGAAACCTGCCCAGAACCCCCTTAGAGCCAAGGAGGGGTGGTCTCTGAGGGCTGGAAGAGACAGCCCTTCTGGGCATGTACACGAGTGTCTGGAGCTCCTCCTCCTCTTGGGGTTGGTGGGGGCAGAGCAAGCCCACTACTCCAAGCAGAAGTTCCGTAAGTCTGGGCCCCAGCTCAAGACCTCACTGAGGAGACTGTGGCCTGAAGTTCTGCCCATCAGTGGGGACAAAGCAGGGATGGGGTGAGGAGTTGGGTCTTCCCAGCACCTGGTCAACCTCCCGTCCATGGACAGAGCCAGCCATGGCAGAGGAAGTATGGGTGGGCACCTGGAGGCCCCATCGCCCCCGGGGGCCCATCATGGCCCTCTACAGCAGCCCAGGACCCAAGTACCTGATTCCACCCACCACGGGTAAGTGCCTGGGAGCCTGGAATGGGGCTGGGGTGGGGACAGGAGCCAGGTCTGAGGTGGGCTTGGGATGGGCCTGGGGAGGGTTGGGGAGGGGGCCTGGTCTGAGCCTGGGGAGGACCTGGAGAGGGTCTGATGGGGGTCTGGGGAGGGCATGGGGCAGGCCTGGGGTGGGTCTGAGGAAGGTCTGGGGGGTGGGGGGCCTGGGGCGGGCACTGAGGAGGCCTGAAGAGGGTCTGGGGGTACATGGGCTGGCCCTGGGGTGCCTGGGATGGGTCTGGGGAGGATTTGGGGGGATCTGGGGGAGTGCCTGGAATGAGGCTAGGGCAGGCCTGGGGAGAGTCTAGGGACGGTCTAGGAGGGGGTCTGAGGGGTGGGTGTGTGGGATAGGGCTGGGGAGGCTGAGGGCTCATCCCTGACTCCCAGCCCATGAACCCCTCTGGGGACAATAGGGTGGGGAGAAGGATGGTGTCTGGCTCCAGGATGCTCAGAGGCCCTGCCCCACAGGCTTTGTGAAGCACACACCCACCAAGCTGCGTGCACCAGCCTACAGTTTCCGGGGGGCCCCCATGCTCCTGGCAGAGAACTGCTCCCCAGGGCCCCGCTACAGTGTGAACCCCAAGATACTGAGGACTGGCAGGGACCTCGGCCCCGCCTACTCCATCCTGGGGCGCTATCGCACCAAGACCATCATGACCCCTGGCCCTGGTGAGTGACTCTGGCCCACCCGCAGCCCTGCCCAACCCTGCTGATAGTTACTGCGTGTCCTGTCAAGGTGAGGGTGTGAGGGAACACAGGCATCCTGGGCCTCCTATCCCTTCATTTTCCTCACAAGGGGCGCCATCAGGCCCAAAGCAGCCTTGGAGACCCTCAGGCCCAGCTCTGACCTGAACTTTTCTTGGCCTGAGTCCCTGCACCAGGCCTACATCAGAGCCTGCCCTTCCTCCTCCAAAGCTGCACCTGTCCCCCCGATTCCTGCAGTCCCTGGACACCCCCTGACCAATCTCAGTCACCATCTGTATTGGGGTCTGGAAGCCCTGACCTGCAGTGTTGGGGGTTTTCCTTGACCCCCTGAGCAGGCCAGCAGCCTGCCTGCATGGTCCTTTCCCTCCCAGCACACCCTCCACTCCTTTCCCGAGCCAGGTGACTACTTTCCAGAGAAATCTACCAAATACGTGTTTGACTCGGCACCCAGCCACTCCATTTCTGCCCGGACCAAGACCTTTCGAGTGGACAGCACCCCAGGTGTGCAGCAGCCCTGACAGCCACCATCCGACCGGGTTGGGGATCCTGACGTGGGCGGTGGGGGAGGTGGGGGAGACAGGGCAGCCTGATGGCTGCTCTCCTGGAAGTGGAAAGCCCCAGGGAAGGAGCCATCTGAGACTCTGGATGCAGGATTCTGTCCAGCCTGAGACTCAATGCCCATGCACCCCGCAGGCCCTGCCGCCTACATGTTGCCTGTGGTAATGGGGCCCCACACTGTCGGCAAGGCCTCCCAGCCCTCCTTCTCCATCAAGGGTCGCAGCAAGCTGGGCAGCTTCAGTGACGACCTGCACAAGGCAAGGGTCCCCCTGCCAGGGCGCAGCACTGTTCATCCCCCAGAGGTGGCCCGTCTGGCCCCTTCCCCCAGACCTCGGTGCCACCAGACTGAAGCCTGTCAGCTCTTCATCCTCTGGGTGCCTGCCACATGCCTGGGACCACCCTGCACCCCCCCCCACACACACACACACACAAGGTTACAGTCTAGGGGTGAGGAGGGGCAGACAATGGACAAAGATGCAGACAGCAACAGTGCTGAGGAGGGTTGAGCAGGGAAGGGGCTTTATAGAATGCTGCGGGTAGGGCAAGGAGCAGCCTTTGATAAAGTGGCCTGCAGGAAGATGGGAAGAAGAAGAAAAGCTGTGAGATATTTGGGGCAGGAGGCTTCCAGCTGCAGAAATAGCCAGTGCAAAGGCCCTGAGGTGGGCACATGCCCGGGAGCTTGAGGAGCCTGGGGAGAATGCCAAGGTGGCGTCACAGCACCGCTGACCTTGTCCGCCCATCCCACCGCCATCAGGTCCCGCAGGACAGAGTCCCAGCTGGAAAGGGGCCTCTCTAGCACACACCAAAGGGACAAGCCTGGGACTGGCACACACTGGGTGTCATTGCCAGAGCAAGGCTTCTGTAGAAGGGCGATGTCCCGCACAGAGAAGGTCATCCCCACGGTGCGACTATTGTCTGGGGACAAAAGGGACCCCTGACACACAGACACACAGCGGCTCAAGCTTGAAATCCACTGCCCGATGCTGGCCCCCTATCCTTTGGAGTCACATGCCCTGACAGCTGAGGTTGACTGAGCCTCTTTTGCCTCCTAGACCCCAGGTCCTGCAGCCTACCGCCAAACGGATGTGCAGGTGACGAAGTTCAAGGCTCCACGGTACACCATGGCAGCCCGGGTGGAGCCCCCAGGGGACAAGACCCTCAAGCCAGGACCAGGAGCCCACAGTCCTGAGAAGGTCTAGGAAGAGCAGGGCCCAGAGGGGTGGGGTGAGGGGTGGGGGGTTACAGTGAGGAGGGAGTGGGGATGGGGATGACATGGCCCAGAGGAGGTGGGGGTGGTCACGACCCAGTGGGGAAGGGTCGCAGGGGCACCACCCAGAGTGGGTGGGGGGGCACAGCCTGGGGAGCAGGGACCACAGGCCAGAGTGGTTCAGTTACTGGGGGCACATCCCAGGGAGGTGGGGTTGGCAGGGGCAGAGCCGGGGGGGGGGGGCGGGCACAGGCCAGAGGAGTAGCCGGGGAGCAAGCCCAGAGTGGGTGTGGTGGGGAAGGGCCTGTGAGGGTCACAGTGGCCATGCACCCCTAGCATGGCATTCGTGGCACATCCATTGCCCCAGCTGGCAGGTTCTGCCTCCCCAGAAACCGGTGACAGTTAGTACGTAGGGCACTCTCCACACACGGGCCTCTGTGTCTAACCTGGCAGCGTGGTCTTGCTGCCTGTCAGCCTGGCCCAGCTTCAGGAGGCATGGGGAAGCCACTGTCAGCAGCCCTGGCCCCCGGGAGGGCAGAGCCCGTCGGGCGGGGCAGGGGTGCCAGCTCTTCTCACAGCCTCTCCTCTCCCAGGTGACGGTGACCAAGCCCTGCGCCCCCGTCGTCACATTTGGCATCAAACATTCCGACTACGTGACACCCCTGGTGGTGGACGTAGAATAGCCCTGGCCCCCACCCTACCCCGTCACCCAGAGCCTCTGCACATCATGCTCCCACAAGAGATGCCCTGGGTCGTGGGCTCGGGACACCTCCACCAGCTGGGCTGTGGCCAGCCTGGCCCTGCAGGGCAGAGCATACTTGTTTGGACAGTTGTGGCCAGTTATTTTTTCTATGATGCTTTCCCATTTGCTAATCTCGTTTCCTGCTGTGCCCAGATATTTAATAAATCACAGATTGCATTAGTAATGAGTTTGTCTTGGCAGTAGAATCAAGCTTTCCCAGAAAGGGGCTCCTGCCTAGGTGGTTGGGTCCTATCCTGGTTTCCAGGGCCTGGGGTCTGAGCAGAGAGGGGGGCTTGGGATCCTTGGACACCCTGCCATGCCGGCCCGCCTAACTCCGCCTTGGGCCCTGCACTTCACATTCCGTTGTACACTCCAAGAATGGTCACACCAGCATCCGTCCCCTTCCATACTCTCGTCCCTGTGTGACTGACTCTCCCCCATGAGGTCTGTGCCCCTCCCCTTGAATCTGGTCTAGAACCTGTGACCACCCTCAGTAAGGTGATACTGCATGACCTCTGAGGCCAGGCCATACAACATACAAAGGAAACAGCTCCTTTGTGGAGCTAGACAACCCCCTCCCTTGGCTCATTCCAACACCAGCCACCGTGGTGTGAGCTCAACACTTGGTGAGGCCGCATCAGCATCCAGGCAGTAAGCACACCAGCACCAACGGCAGGCACGTGACCAAGCCTTCAGGTGTCAGCAGCCCCAGGCTCAGGTCTGCCACCCAAGGCCCGTTCTAGGCAGAGGGCCGTCCCCACCATGCTGGTCTCGAATTCCAACCACACTGACCATAAGACATAAATTATTCTAATTGTGACTAAGTTTTTTAAGGTGATCTGTTAACAGCAAAGGCCACAGAGGAAGCACAAGGACTTGGGCCAGGAAGGGGGCATCTGAGTAAGGCCAAAGACAGGCATTTCCAGAGGCTGCCTGCCTGGAGTCCAAGGCCAGGCCTTGAAGAGTGGAGTGTGGATTTCACCTCAGCCCTGGGGAAAGGTTGCTGTGAAGCCCGCAGGGTGGGTGGCCCCGAGGGTCATCCCTGTGAGCCCACCAGCTGTAGCAGTACAAAGTACAGTATGGCCACTGACCCTCACTCAGCTGGGACCACGAGGCTGTGTTCTGCGTACCTCACGTCTATTCATTTAACCCTTAGGGGTGGTTACAGAAACTTGACAGAGACCACCCGCCGGGGGTGGGAGGGAGAAGTGAGGAAGGGTGCAGAGACGTGATAGAACCAGAGGGGAAAGGAAGTAGGGTCCAGAACACCAGCGTCCATGGCCAGTCTGGGGACCAGGGTCAGCTCCAGATGAAACCCTCAAGCACCCGAGAAAATGACGACACCAAAGATTGTTTACTTCGTCATGAAGCTGTTTATTCCAAATCTTTGTTAAATGCCTTGTTCTTGAATTGTGGGATAAAGCCTGGCAGCGTCTCCTCACTTGGCACAGGTCGGGTCCCCAGGTCCTTTTTGTTTTAGTGGTTTCAGGGACCAACGTCAGCAAACCGCGCTTACGCACAGGAGAGGGTGCTGAGCGCCCGAGGCGGGGCAAGAGGAGGGCAAAGGCTCTGACAGGTCGGCAGCAGAGCTGACATGCCCCCATCATGGAATCCATCCCAGTGCAATGAGAAACAAAATGGTAAACCAAAAGTAACGAAAACCCAGACCCCAAAATAGCTGGAAGGGCCACAAAGAGCTATGAAGTGGAGGCGGGGAGGCAGAGATGGGGGCTTTAGGAGAGAACATTGCGGCTTGAGGTCTCAGGGGGACAGCAGAAAGCACTCATCAAGACTACCCGAAACACAAAATCTAAACCAGCCTGCATCGAATCCGTAGTGTGGTGCAGCTCTCACAACTGAGCCGTGTTCTCAGGAAGAGGTCAGCACCACAGGCCCGGGGGGGGGATGCAGGGTGTGGGTCCATCTGCAATGCCACCAGACGGACACACTACACAGGTCTAGTAAGCTTGGTGACCAGTGGACATGCCCCCGTCGCAAGATTTAACATGAGATGGCTAACTCAAAGCCATAGTGCATGGGGACTGGGGAGGGAAGCAGGACCATGGGGGCCTGAGAAGGAATGTCAAGGAGTCAGGGGAAACACCAAAGCCCCACAGACAGGGAGGCAGGTAAGCAGACCTCCCTGGATGAGAAACTAGCCTCTGGAGGGGTAGGGGCATGTCAGAACAGAGCACTCAGAAGTAGGAACGTAGGTTCCCCCTCCTCCAGGAGGCTGAGCAGCCCAGCAGGTCCAACGCAAGAAGAGTGCTACAGTGACCACGTGAGGAGGGGCCAGGCCTGCTGGACAGACAAGGGACGCAGAAGGGAGAACAGGGAACAGCAGCAGTGCTGAAGGTGAGGTGACCAGAGTCAGAGACCTCAGCCGATGTGCGGTCAGTGTGTGTGAGTCACACCAGGGGCCTGCACAGCACACAGTGTGGGGCAGAGCCAACAGTCCTCTGGGAGTAAGCGGGAGTGACTGGGCTGGCAGAAGACGTATTTATGCACAATGAGGGTGCCGACACCTCACCGTGGGGTGCGAAGCCGCTGGCCCAGCTGGGCCTGTGCTTTGGTTTGTGTGAACATGGGGCTGGCCAAGTGGGCAGTGAGGGTCCAGGGAGAGGCGGGCACGGAGAGCAGTCTGCAGAGGCTGGGGATGAGGGAACGACTAAGAGTTCCCTTAGTAAGGGAATACTCACTGTTGAAGGGCCTCACATGGTGGAGGGGAAGCTGCCTGGTGACCCTCAGGAAGTGACCCATGGGTCCTATGAACAGAGTCCTTGTAGGGAAGCCTCCTGTCTTGACCCACAGAAGGCGCCTCCCCAACACACATTCCACCTAACTCTGAAACGCCAGATGGAACTGCTTCTAGAGGTCTGGTCTCCCAGAAATACATCTTTGGTGTTGGCTAGATCTTGAATCCTGAGAAAATAGGAGTTTCTGCTCCTGGATACAAGACTGTGAGATCCAAAAGGATCAGGGCCCAATGCCTCCAGCCAAGGTTGCGGTCCACTTCTTCATCCACAATACCCTGCCCTTCCCCGAGGGTCTGGAGGGCAGGCGAGGCTCATCTGCCCATACTCAGCAGCCCTAGCCAAGAGTAGCTGCAATCTCCGAGCTGAGGAGATGGTGCTCAAACTTCACAGCCAAACCCCCATCCCATGTCAGCTCCAGGCACCTCGGGCATCAGACGTGGCCTTACCCAGAGACATGGATAGGGCAGAGCCTTGAGACGTCAGAGCCCCAAGGGACAAGGGAAGGGCTGCTGGCCACAGGTAGCCATGTCCAGGATTTCCAGAGCCTCTGGTACCCAGAGTAGCACAGGGCCTGCGCCTTGGTTTCCCCAAGGGAAAGAGACCCTTACACACACGGGACCAGCCAATACGAGCTCACTCGGTCAGAGGCAGCCATGAACGCCAGTCACAGAGGAAGAAAATTCCTAAGCCACAATCATCATTTCAAAGGAGTATTTTGCAGGTAGGTCCTCTGGAGCCTAGGACACCAGGCAGGGGAAGACCCTGGTTGCCCCAGGCCCCACAGAAGTCAGCTCCTAGTGGCTCATGTCCTTGCCCTTGACAGGAGATAGGAGAGAATGAAGAAGGCCACGATCAGGCCCACGGCCATACCACATAGAAGCTTCCGGTTGTCTCGCCCAGACCTCGCCATTGTGGAAAAGCGCTTCACGCTCCCCGTGAGCAGGCCTGTCATGCTTGTGAAATCCGAGTCCTGAGGGAGGAATCCCACCAAGGTCACACAGGGGCAGCACCTCCACGACTGCCACGCAGGTGCCAAAAGCAACACCGGGGGCCTGCACAACAGGCAGCGTGGGGCAGAGCTGACCGCGATGCCCGCGCACACTGCAGACCCTTACCATGCTGTCCAGGTACCGGTTCTGGTCTTCTGCGTCCCTATCGATGTCCAGGGCCAGCTGGTCAGGACACAGAGGGGGCAAGGTCAAGCCAGAGAACACCCACTGGATGGCACTTGACCCCCCAGGAGACCAGCAGACCCTGCCAACAACTCTGCCAGGCATAGTGCCACCAGCAGAGATCAGGAGATCCAGGTGTCACCTGGGCCCCACACACCAGTGCTGCCATGGATGAGACAGGGAAGATGGGAACAACCTGAAACCCTTCCCAGCCTCTACCCTCCCTCTGGTCCCCACTCCAGAGTGCCAGGTAGAGATGAAGGGAGGACCACCACTGACCGATTTGAGCCTGGTGACCTTGGAAGCCAAGCTGTCGGCCATCCGCTTATTCTCCCGGTCTAGAATCTCCTCCACAGCGGCGGGGCTCTGAGCTGTGAGAAGGGAGAGTCTGAGGGGGTGCATCTACCTGTGAGCACTGCCCTTGATCCCTGCACATCAGCCCTTTGTGGCCTCAGGGCTCTCACTCCAATTCTATCCGGACAAGCTGGAAGTCTCAGGGGACTGGGCTCACGTCTGCTAAGCAGGTCCAACCCTAAGCCAGGGTCAGCTGCATGGACTTCACACATGACAGACAGCCTGTGTGAGCACTTGCCATGTGAGCACCTGTCCTGTGAACATACCCCAGCCAGAATGGACAGGCACCCCAAAGGGTTCAGTCCTACCAGCACTTTCTGATATTGTGATAGAACCTGTACGATCCCTCCACAGATGTCATCAGGATACATGGGACCTGTCCTCAGAAAAACAATTAATTCTGGTAGGGACATACGATTTAGGAAGAGCACGGGGGAGGGGGGGGACAAAAAGGCCCCTGCAGGGACGACCTGTGAACTGGGTCCTGAACAGCTGACAAGTAACCAAGGAGGAAACAACTGAGCAGAGTTCCGCAACACCCAAAAATAGGGGCTGAGGTCGATCTAGGTCTGCTCACCTCTGCACCCTACACCTTACACGGCCCCCAGAGCACGATCCATGCTGAGACCTGACACGTGACTAGCACTAAGCCAGGTGATTCCGAATTTCTGTGACATCAGGTGGGTCAGAACCACCTCCCCCCGCGGGCCGGACGCCTCAACGGGACGGATCCAACCGGGGCACAGCTCTACGAATCACTGATGGGTACACACCCCAAAGGAAGGGATGTTAACATCCTACCAACCACTTCACGTTCGTTCATTCCTTAAGTCAGAAGAGCCCAGCGACACCGGCATCAGCATCCCACCTCCCGGGTGAGAACAGGGGCTCTCAGAGGACGTAAAGCCCCCTCCCCCAGCGCTAGCTTCCGGGATCTGTGGACCCGCCGGAGGCCCCAGGCAGAACGACCTCGGAGGGCCCCCGCGACCCCGCCCTGGCGCGGGCAGCGCG